AATTATTTTATTTAAGAATAAACATTTTACTTAACAAATGTACGTTAAAGTTCTTAAACTATTATCGATAAATTTATTTTAATTTACTAAAAAATATAAGTAAAAAGACCATTTTTCAAAAGACGATAATATCCGTGTAATCGAAATATTTGTCTTAAAAAGAGACAGGCAAATTAATATTATTATGTATTTTAAAGTGTAAAGTAATTAACTTATGCTGCTTAGTAATTATAATGTTTTATCGGTAATCTATAAAAATGTCGGTGACACATTATTCTCTCCCCGCGATATGAACTACTTAAAACCAACTTCCGTATGTCTCTGTCTCGATATTATGCTTTCTTCGGACAGTGTTCGAGTAAAGTTAGCTTGCTCTATTTACTTCCATTATTCATCGGATGCGCTGATCTATGCAGAGAATGACCACATTTTCTCATGAAAGGCTTGCCGCCTTTTCTAACATGAAATTCAATTAAACGTATAAAACACGGACACCGTAATACCCTCCTATCGATGATGAAATCAACTTAATTCGAAAATTCTTTCTGTTGTAAATTATTGTGTCGTTGTAAGAATGCTGTTCAGTGAAATTTGTAGATGTTATCTAATGGAATGTATACTAACTAAAAATGATCTATCACTATTCATCCCGGCTATTTGTCTTATTAAATACTTGAAAACAAACGTTATGCCTGCCATTCATGCTTTATTATGAAGTTTAATTGTTTTTAAGAAATGTCGTTGAAATGTAGTGGATTAAAGCGGTTCTATTATTTTGTATGAAAAGGAAACGCGACGAGGAATTCATTGGAAAGCAATTTAATTTTCTGTATAATGAGATTGCTATTGTCGCTTGTGGTCGTAACGCTCCAAGATTGGATACTCGGCAAAAATATCAATTAAAGTGACTTCTACCAGTCATTGTTAAAGCATCTAATGATTGATTTCCGTGGTCGATCGATATGTCTAATGACTGAAGCCATGGTCGAGTACCACTGCAGACACGATGTGCTTCGATATCTTCCATCGTTGGTATCCAAGGCGTGCCTGCCTGACTCTAAACTAGTTGACTTTAATAGATAGCATTCGTTATAAATTATTTGTTTCGATGGTGTTGATAAATATGATGGGGCAATTAATATAGCAACGTTGTATAAAAATTGATTTTTCATTTCAAGAGCTACCTTGAGTGACCATGTAACTTCCGTATTAATTGTACTTCTTTAATAATCTTTTTCATTTACCATGAAATTAGCCGAAATAGAGTTTATAAATTATATTGTAATTAATAATAATTTATTTAAATCTTGTCGTTCTATTGTTAGTTAGGTATAAATGTTTTATTAGTATCGTGGAAGCTTTTCTCGACGTCTATAATTCTTATGTGTGATTGGAAATTTGTTATTCAAGACATTGAGGCACGTCTTTGTCAAAATTTAATTCTTAAAGACGAAACCAAACGTTTTTATCGAAGCACTATTCGATCTCTATATATTAATGAGAAAAACAGATGCATTTTGTTCTGGGTAAGTGATGAGCATCGTCCGTACAAGCCCCCTATTTCACTTTTTGAAATATTACAATAGACGAAACATTCATCCGAGACAATGACACTATGGTTTTCTCGTGTACTATTCAGAGACCCGCAATTGACTCGTATTCTATTGTTCTACTTTGCTTCTATCAGACTTAATACATTGGCACGTGCAAAGGATAAGCACGTCATCATTTAAGAAGATCGATGCTTAAATTTTAGTAGAAAAATTTGTCTACTTTCTTTTAAATGTAAGTATATTTTAAAAATGAAAATATTTTCGAAAGAAAACCTTCGATATATATATATATATATATATATATATATATATATATATATATATATATGTATGATGTATATTAATGAGAAAGAAATATCCGAACGAAGATTAAATAAAATTATTTATATTTATCAAGGAATATTAATAATAGCGTGTTATTAATTTCTAAATCTCCAACGAATAATCAACATATCATATATTGCAACGTGAATTTGCAAATTCGTAAATATTTAAATTAAGCTATACAAATACTTTTGATATTTATGAAAATCGAGCAAATCAATTATTAATAACTACTTAATACAATGATAATTAAAATAGTACGAACTTATATAATAATTATATCTGCTATAATATTTAATAAATTATTTAAGAGTATACGAGTAAAAATATTTTTGTTAACGGACATTTATTACAAAATACATTTAAAATGCATACACTTTTATAAAGTCAAATAAAAACATAACGAAAGTAATTAAAAAAAAAAAAAAAAAAAAAAAAAATAAATAACTAAATAAATAAATAATAAGGCAAAATATTCTAAAGAACATTGTCTAATAACTTCGTAATTTCTAGACAAACCTTTGAAAATTGCATTAAAAATTCTCTAATGAATACAATTTATTCAGTAATTAGTAAAGATTCGTAAAAAAGAATACGAGAATAAAAATACTTTAAAATAATTGATTTTGTCGATTTTTTTTATTCGTAAACTTTTCATTTCTCGTTTAGAATTGCTTCATAAATTTAGTCGGATATCTCGTTGGTAAACTCTCGTCTCTTATCGATAACAGACATATTCAAATTATGGAGGATGATTCGATAGACCTTTGTCACTCACATGGACTATAATGTATTAAGACGTTGTGTAAGCCTTAGTCACATGTAGGAAAACAGCCGGATTCATTTTGGTGAATACGGTCTTTCGCATGCCTGGAGACATATTGGTGACCACTTTCAACTATGTTTGAACAAATGACCGGTTTGCAATGGAAGTCATTGGAACAGTCATCCGTTGCATTTGGATGGATTGTGAGGCACTTGCCTTGCACGAGATAACAATAAGCAAGAGCGAGTAGTGGATTACCGGTGTAAAACTGTCCATCACCCAGTGTCATTTGGCCGGACATATCAATATGTGTGTATTTAAGGGGGTTGTCGCTTGTAATACCATGCTGAAACAAATTAAATATGCAAGCATTAATTTTTAAATTTCGAGTGACCGGATGTTTTTATATACAGTTATTAAATTTTGATAATGGAAAACTTCGTAAGAGAGTGATTGTTAGACCAACAAAATAATTGAAGGTTTTGGATGGGCGAAGGGAGAGATGGGAAAGGGCATTTAAATTAATTAACTATTTCGTAACAATTTTATTTCACATAAACAATCATAATAGTAAGATTATACAATATAATTAGAGATGATAATTAATTTCCCTAATTATTATGATTATATTTTATTTATATTATTGTTGTTGTTTCATTTGTAATTTAATAGTTGAATTGACACATTATTAGAAACATTGTTCTATATGTATTTCAGTTATAGAAGTTTTCGAAAGAGAAATTTTACAATTATTATCATTTAAATTATTTCAATTATTAAATTATTTAATTATAATAATATAAAATACTTATGTATTATGTATTACATAATACATTGTGTTTAATATTATTAATTATACAATACACGAGCGATAAATTAATGTGCTTCGATAAAATCAGATAAGGATTAAATTAAATTTTTTAATTACAAATTTCAAATTGCGAACAGATTAGATTTCATACACAAAATAAGGATATTAGAATTTCAAATGAAGTATTAGCTATTTGATTTTAAATGTCATAGTAAGCGTAAAATTATAAATTTCGATTTTCGAATGTCAATTATTCGTGACTATTTATGCTTGATGCGACTGATTGGGGAGATTGTTTGTGTAAATTTTATTTTATCGACTGCTTATGATATAAATAATTTATAAATTCGTTTATTTCAACCATGTCATCGCGTCGGAATTATGTCGGATGCTACTTATCAACTACTTATCAACTCTTATATGAAAGATGGAGAGGCTAAAATCAATTGCTAGAGCGGCAAGTAAACGATCGCAAGATAATTCAGATTTATGGACAAAGACAGACTTTAAGAAAGAGGTAAATTTTTTCGGTAATAATTTTTGCTTCTGCCTGATATTTTCAAGACCAGGGAGGTCGGTCCGTTGGGGAAATTGGCGCTTTGTTGTATAAGAAACGGTATCTGCAACGATCATAAAAAGCCAATCTCTATTACCGTAGTTTTAACGAGCTCTCAGGAAAGAACTCGAAGCAAACGAGAAGTTGAAGGCTGCATTTAAGGAAAGCAATCATCAAAAGCGGCGAAATGGTTACGTAAAAATGAGATACCTCGGTTATGGTTTTCGAGGGCGAGTCACGCAAAAAGCGTAACTTTTTCCTTACTGTGAATATTAGAAATTAGGATATTTGTTGATGGGCTGCGATAATAAGGTAGAGGTAGGCGCGACACGAGCCAGACTGTTAAAAAGCGTTACTCTCGTCTATATTCAACGAGGTGTCAGTCAAAGCTATAATGGGCCATAAACAACTAGAATCATCCGAGGAATTTATTGCAATTATATTTTGTTTCTGTAATAGTATGTGGGTATGCCATATCTATTGATTTTAATCACATACTTATAATAATTAGGTGGTAATTAAATTGAATTAAAATATCTTCTAGTAGGGTGGTTTTTTTTTTTTTTTTTTTTTTTTTTTTTTTTTTTTTTTTAACAAATTGTATATAATAATGATGGAATTGGTTTTCAAGGAATTATGATGTATTGGAAACATATTTCTTTTACAATATATATTTATTAATGTCGCGTGGCAGTTGAATTAAAATAAAATTATAAAAGAGTTTCTTATTAATTAAATGAAATATCCATTTTTCTTATATTATCAAAAGATAGGGCATATATTGAACCAGATTAGTATTTTTTTATTTTTAAAAACTTATTTTGAATTTATTATACATAAAATGCAATTCTTATATAAATAATTATTCAAGTAACATAAACACATAGTGTACATTATAGAAGAATTTTTGATCCCTTAACATATTGTATATGAAAAAAAAAAAAAAAAAAAAAAAAAAAATCGTATTCGAAAAAAAAAGAAATCGTATTCGCTAGTTAGTATAAGAAACATTCTTTGAATGCGCAAAAATATTAATACGAAAAAACCAAATTGTTTTTAAAGAACAATGTGAGCAATATAATATCTCTGCTTTAACTGCTGTTTTTGGCGAGGTTGTCTTCAAATTCCTTATTTAAAAACCTTTTAGCGAGCGCGAGGATTGGTGCTCCCGTTGCTATATCTGGTAGATCTCCTGCACTGGCTGCGATGTCAAGATGACTGTATTTAAGAGGCTTCTCGCTTTCCTTACCAGACTGCAAAAGTTGATTAATTTTAGTCAATTTAGTTGAATCATCGATCAGGTAATGACGGGATCAGGAAATGATGATGGAAGGAATTTGTGCTGGATTCTTGGTTTCCTTAGGCTTCATAGATTATACTTGATTCTTTTTGTATTTTTCAATGTCGAATGGAACATTTACAGTATATTACTTGACTTAAATTTCGAAGAGTATCAAATACAGTAAGTGTATTGGTTATTTTGAAAGACATTTAATTTAAGAGTTGTAAACGAAAAGGAAAGAAAAAAAATTATAAACAAATAGAACGATAGTACTACTAGTTTTCATAAGAATTAAGTTTTAATTAGTTATAGTTAACCTATTGAAATTATTAAATGCAATTGTTATTTACATTTTATTTTAATGTTATTTGTATTTTCATTCCACTCATTCTTGGCATGAATATAATTTAATACAAAAATAATATATTTTGTACATATATTCTGTTATTTATTTGACAATTTTAAATCTCTAATTATTAAATATTATTGTTATAATATTTTTATAATATTCGTAAGCTTTTCAGTCTATAACTCAATAGATTCATAAAACGTCATTTTACAAAACGCAATGAATGTTTATTAAATTCCTTACATTTTATGCACATGTAAAACATACTTATAAACAAAATTCTGTAAATAAGCAATCATTATTTTAAATTAACGTTTAACATTATATTTTATGAATTTTTTATATCAAGATTTTATTGTAGCAAATCAAAAGAAAAGATTATAATTATAATATAATAAACTGTAGGTGTTAAAAATTAAATTTGAATAGCAATGAAAAATTGTACATTGTCTGGTATTTATATGATTATTATGATCGAATTATTTATTCATTTAATATTTAATATTATAGATGAGATACGATAATATTAAAACAATTTTTACAGGTGAAATAATTCATTTGTAAAATGATAATTAAAAGATACTTTTTGTCGGTCAATTTTCAGAATTTAATGAATCATTTGATTTGAAAACTGACACATGAGTGAGAGAGCGGACAAAAGGGAATGGGAGAATGGGTAATAATAGATAGAGAGAGAGAGAGAGAGTACGAGAGAAGGATGAATGGAAGGATGCAGGGATGGACGGACAGGGAAACCGACTGGTAGTGGTAGGGACGTGGGGGGTGGGAGACCAGTACCAGATGTCGACGATTGTACGACTCGACTACATCCCATATGGTAGGGACGGCTGTCGTGTCGTCACGTCGTGCAACGTCTCATATATGAGCAGAAAGTGTGCACTTGTCGTTCTGATACGGATGAGAGAGAAACAAAGATGAAATCTTGTACGTCTACAAATACAAACATGTGCACGACGCGAAAATTCGTCACGAGATGGAAATTGGGAAGTAATGGTTGGCACGATGTGCAAAGGTGTGAATAGAGTACTTTTTAAGATGAAGAAATGATTTTTTCTATAAATATAGATAGTACTATAATAATTAAATTTAATTGTTTAAGGAAATTTTTTTTATTTGTCTAATAAAAAATTCAAATAAAACGCATTAAAACATTAAAACAATTAAAGCAAAATATTGGGTACATTATTAGTGACAATTTTTAACAACTAAAAAGAAGTTAATATAATTGATTAAATTTACACATCCCTCTTTCTCTAAGCAATAAATTAATTAATTATTTCAAGTAGGTACATTGTAAAATGCTATAACACTCGCATTTTCTAATATATAAAGATTTCTTTCAATCTTAGCGCACAGTATCTTGGTGAACGATAAGTTACTCATTTAAATATAAAATTTTTTTTTTTTGAACTGTAGTGTGTATACTACCTATATTTATTAAGATTTAAAAAAATATTTAATAATAGAACAAGTACATTTTTATAAATAATTACAATATTTTAATGTACATAGTAAAAAAATAAAATGTTTTTTTAGATTTTATAGCTTAATGTAATAGTTGATGTAATCTAATACGCATAAAAGCTGCTTATAATATTTAATAAGAATTTATTAAAGTTCAAATAATTCATGTCCGGATCAGGCATTAAAAGAATTTTAGCAAGAATTTCAAATATTTTACAAAATCATAGAATTACGCTGAATGAGGATGCTTAAATCATAGTATCCGATCTACATTCATGATTTAACATTTTTAATAAAGATTCAAATTAACTAAACGAGAAATGTTTCCAATAAGTTTAATTATAATAAAACAGTTAAAACAGTTAATAAAATTAATTATAGTTAAACAGTAATTTATGGTATAATTAACTAAAATTATTATAAGACTAAATAAAATAAACTTTTGATAACCTTTTATATTTTTCTCATATAACGAAACAATACATGACGTGTATGAGGTGTTTTAAATAAAAAAATCAGTTATAGATATATAAATTAATTTTGTTATAATTTGTTTAGAAGTCTCCCTTGTTATTAAAGCTTTTTCTTATTATTTTATTTATTTTCTCTTCTTTTATTCACAATTATACAATATTACTTTTATCATTTTTATTTATATTTGTTTTTTAAAATATCTTAGAATTTGTATGAGGATGATATCTTTTAAATATAATTAATAATTAAATTATATTAATTTTATTATCTGATTTTTGTAACTATAATTTTATGATTATAATTTTTTTAAAAAAAAAAAAAACTTTTTATACAAAAATTATCAAATTAATAATATTTTCTTATATTTTTAAATTGACTTAAATGGTAAGATAAATTACTATTAGTTTTTCAATTTTCAGTTCACTGGAGCTATTTCTTATTGTTTGCTTTTTATTTTGTTGTTTATTTTTATTACCTCATTACTTACTTAAAAGATATTTAAAATTTTATACTTTGAATATTTTATAAATCGGGTTACTACTTATATATTTTTGTAATTACCCAAGTGCGCTTATTTAGTTCTAAATTGAACTGATATATTAATATTTAATAGTCTTAATTATAGTTTATAACAATATATACGTATAAAGGTATCAAAGAATATTTAAAATATTTAAAATAAGTAATACTATCTTGAAAAATGAAAAGTACCTTTTTAAGTCCAGATGACATCATAAGAAAAGCAGCGGGGCCTTGATGCCCTCTTTCTGATCCAACACTCGATTTTTTTCCAGATGATTGTAGTACATCATCGCCTTCGGCTTTACCTTTATGCGAAGCAAAATCTTCTCTACGCAATATTGAAACTTCAAACATATCGCCCATTACCTCCCCACAAGCTTGTAGTTTATAAGCATTAGATTCCGATCTTGCAACAGAATTGTCTATCACAATCTGAAATCCATAAATTTAAACAATTATTTTGCTTCGCGAATCCTTTATTTTTATAAAATATACATTGAGCTAAATGAAATAATTAACATTTTATTAATGTTAAAAATATTTTTCAATAACTTTAAAAAATTTAATAACAAATATCACAATTTTTATTCATCCCCGCCATTTTTTATATCAATTGAAAATGAAAAAATTTTATTTAAATAAATATAATAATTTTTGGGACAAATTTGAAATCTTAATTATACGTATTAGAACTTCTTTAATACTGTTCATTACTCATTTATTAATGTAGAGTTTTATTTCTACATCCGAATAATATATTTCCAATCAATCAAATTCATACTTTTGTAACATACATATTCATTATTACATATTTCTTAATGCTTATTCATTGCTCTTCAAAAGTTTATTCTTCACTAATTATTTGCTATACGTTAAAAATTGTTGGAACACGACATTTCAGTTACTATCTCAATTTTCAAATACCGAGTAATTTATTTAAAATTATAAATATGTTCCATTAGACATAAAATCTAATTAGTTACACTTATTAAGTAAGTTACTATACATTCAGACGGGAAGTAAACTTTTATTGGCAACTTTAAATTACTTAAAATTGTAGTATATACGTGAATCGAATTGCAGCATTTATATGCTAATACGCGAATTAAAGTACTAACTTGTTACATGGTTATAATTTTGTATTAGATTATCATAGTTGAAAAATTTACTTTTAATTTTGTTATTAAATGTAGGTAAACAAGATGGGTAAACAAGACATGCTATATTACCGAAAATCCTTTTCCGGCGCTCATTTGCGCATGTCCGGTAAGCGTGGCAATGGTAAAAATATGAGGATTCACCGAACACATGGCCATCTCTTTTATATGATAAAGAATGTCAGCCATAACCATCCGGCCTTCGGCATCGGTGTTGTTTACACGTATTCTGGCACCAGATCGTCCAGTAATTACCTCGTCAGCGACGTAGGCTTTTTCACCGCAGTTGTTACGCACGACCCCAATTGCCGCCACAACCTTGACAGTTGGTGGTTGTAGAAGATTTACAGTCTGCAACGTAACGTCATAAGATTTATGCAATGAAAAGTATTGGTATTTCATTATTTGATAAAAATGTGTAAATAATTTGCATTGGATTGATAGATCTGATATTTATTTCAAAGAAAAATTATCCAAGTTAATTAATTATACAATGAGTTTTATAATAAGTAACAAACCGGGCAAACACACACGCACACACACACACGCGCGCGCGCGCGCACCAAAATTGAACTAATATTTAATATCCATGTAGTATCTATTAATTTTAAACATACATTATGTTAACAAAATGTTTCAATGATCTCTTTTGGATTGATATCATATCATTTTTATATGTAATTTTTTTAATTTTTTTTATAGTAATTGAATAACGGATAAAATTTTAACAATTGTTTCTATTTAATAAACGTAAAATTTTACTTAACATTATTTTATACATTCGCAATAAAATTATAATATATATATATATATATATATATATATGTGTGTGTGTGTGTGTGTGTGTGTGTGTGTGTGTGTGTGCTTGAGTATATAAGAATAAAAATATTTTATCAGCTGCTCATTGCACTTATCCAAACATTCTTTCATTGGCAATACAAAATTTTCTCAAAATATTTGATTCTTCATAATTAGTCTTAACATTTAAAAATATATTTATATTTCTATAAATATTTCGACATTTATATTCAACATAATTCTTAATTACTTTTTCACAAAAGAATTTTCTTAATATTGATTTTGGAATGAATATTTTTTTTTTGCAAATAATTTTATCGGAAAAGAGCATCTTTTAATACAATGGTCTGTAAAAAAAAATAGCCACAAATACCTGCATGAAGCCAATTGAAGCAGCAGCACCACATTTATCCCGGCTCATACCGACCATAGCATGGTTAGTTTTAATATCAGCACCACCGGTGTCATAGGTCACACCCTTGCCGACTAGCATAACTGTTTCGAGGACGCAGGTAGGATCTTTCGGTTCGTATGTAAGGAAGATAATTCGACCAGCGAAACGTGGAATGTCAGCGGACGCACGATTTACAGCTGAGAAGAGTGGATACTCGTATTGCAGAATTTTTGGATCGGAGATGACCTGTATATCAATGTTTGAACCAATGAATACATTGCGAATGTATTCTTCAATACGCACTGGTGCCATTCGTTCTGGATCCGATCCGCCTATAAAAAATCAATGTGCTAATTAAGTAAACACTATAAAATTTTTATTCTAATAAATATTAAGCATATATATATATATATATATATATATATATATATATATATTGAAAATTATATATGATCGTTAATGTTTATAAAAATATCAATCAATAAGTTGTATAAAAGTTTATGACTGAAATGACGTCTTCTCATAATAAATTAATTCAGAAAATTAATTAATTAAACAAAAGAAGAAAAGAAAAATAATTTACTTAAATCCGAATTGGTTTAATCAACCGCTGACACACAGTAAGTCAAGTTTCGAAAATTTGCATATAGAAAAAGTTTGCTTCGTTAAAATAATTAAAATATATTATTTTTGGTCGATTTTATATTGAAGTGCACATAATTCCATATACTTTGAATTATGTATACATATCTATATAATGTTCATACGATATAACAATGCATATGCAATTAGCAAGTACTCTTAGTACACAATTTATAATATGTATAGGAACCTTCAGGAACCTGCTTCGATCCTTCGAAGATCGCACATACATTATTGTAAATTTAAGTATCACGATTTCGAATTTAAAACGTATATGAAATAATTCACGATATTTTTTAAAATTATTTTTTTGTTTTATTTAATTTTCATTTAATATTTATATGTATAGATAATTATTTTATAATTAACAATCATTGTCTTGTATATAATATACATTCATTGTCATTGATATTTTTATAAAATTTCGAAGCTGTCCAACAATAGTTTCATTTTTCAAGACTCACCAGGAATCAAAATAATTATAAAATAATTATTATAAAATAAACTCTTTTTTTTTTTTTATACATTTACAAATTCTTATAGTATATTTCTATGCATGTAAAATATTGGTTCGTGTAAGAGAAATTATTATTCTTATTCTGTTTAATGTATGCTGAGGAATATAATTCGATAAAATCTAATTTAAAGAAAAAAGAAAAAAGTAACTATAAATTTATGTAACTAGAATTATGCTCGGAAAAATAGTGTTCTATTATATTATCTTGACGAACTTCCAAAGTGTTTCAGTTTTCCAATCAGTACCTTAATCTACACTTATAAAATTACTTAAAAAATTAGGAATATATAATTATAGCATTAGCATAAACTTTATAGTATATAGTTTAATTTGCTACTTGAAAACTAAACTAGTAGTTACATAAAATAAAAGTATCCAGATTCTAATAGCTGATTCATATATGTCAACAGATTTATTATTTATTCGCATTAAAACACTTTCTTATTATAAGCAGTAATTTATTATCTAAAGCAATATGTAAAGTGGTACTGTTGGTAAAAAAAAAAAAAAAAAAAAAAAGAGTCTACTCCAAACTTATTCCAAACTAATTATTTAGGGAATACAAATTGTTGAATTATTCATCAGCAAATGTTTCAATATACATAATCACTAAGTACATGTGCATAAAATGTAAGATCGACTTTTTAATCGAAATTGAACAATTGCAGTAATAATGGCATATGGATATATTATGTAGCAACATTATTTCATATACTGAGTGAATTAATTAACGCGATCCGTTTTTTGACAATAAGGCTTGTCATTTCATACCATACTTTATATACGTTCATATATTGCATATTTTATTCTTATTAATTTATACACCCTTCTGTTGCCTAGCATAGATTACATACTCTCTCTCTCTCTCTCTCTCTCTCTCTCTCTCTCTCTCTGGCTCTTTCTCCCCTCCCCCAATCTCTCGTTGAATATAAATATTTGTCATTCTAGACTTTACTTTCTAAGTCACGCTTTACTTTCTATATAGTATTATCATTATAATTTCTTTTATTTCTTATAACCTATTTTTTATCTCTATTTATTAATTCCATCTAAATATTTAAGGCCAATTTTAATTAAAATGTTTTTCATCATTTCCATTTATAGATTTTTTTATTATCAATATATAAATATTTAGCATTTATTTTTTATATATTTGCTCCATATCTACATTAAATGATTTTAAAAATGAGTTAGACTTCGAACAATTACTATATTATTCAGTATATTAAATAAAAATTATTATAATAACAAATTAATTATTTTAGAAAAATATCGTCGTACCTACTATATCCTGTTAAATATTTTACGCTATATCCTTTTCAGCATAATTTTGAAGTACTTACATTTTACTTTCTACATTTTCATTTCTTTTCTTTTGAACAAAACTCCTTTTCTATCTTTGAGCTTCTCTTCTACCTTTATATCTTTCGTCAAATATCTAGGAGATAGCACTCTACAGGTTATATGACCTTTCGTGACAATATTTAGACTGAAGTAATCTACTTACAACTTTGTTAGTAAAAATTTTATGGCATTTACAATATTTTTTATACTTTTGTTTTCTAGTTTTGTCTTTATAAAGTCATGACTTTTTAAAGATGAATACTAAAAAAAAAAAAAAAAAAAAAAAAAAAAAAAAAAAAAGACTTTATTCAATCAGAAATTGTACCTGAGTTCTTTCAATTTGCGTCTTAAATGATATTCCAATAAATAATTATTATATTTATGGATTACATCATTTATTTAAGCCTTCGTCTTATTAAAATTATATATAATTATTCATATTTGCATATATTAATTTTCTTTTACCTTTCTAACTGCAGCTGATTATTTCAGACTTCGATTGTAGTTTAATTCAATTTAAAATTTTATTAAAAGTAATTTAAAATTAAAAAATTTTGAGTTTAATTATTCAGTATTTCAACTTTTTCCTTTTCACATTAGTGCAAACGTATTTTTATAAAAGAATAATTTTTATTGGAAGTTTATATTTTCGAAACTAGAAAACAAAAACTTTAAGAATGCTTTCGTGAAAAAGAAAAAATCAACGCATATTTATTAAATATATTTAATAAGTACTTTTTAAAAGAAACTAAGCGTATTATGGTATTTTTAACTGTCTTTTTGCCAATTCAAAAGTTCACGGGGGAAACTTTGGTTTATACATGCATCTCTGATAATGTCAGAGCAATGTATTCAGTAATCGTAGTATTGCTAAACTCAAGACTACTTATAACTCTTGTTAGATAAGGTAAGAAAGCTTGTGCGTGTTGTATATGCACTATAAAAAATAAAAAAGTGTAAATGAAAAACTGAAACTTTCTAGGAAGATCGGTATTCATTTTGCAGCAATAGCAGTTGATTTCTTTTCTTTTTCCATTTAGTTAATAAAATTTTATTTCATTTTTCATACATATTAAAATTATTAATTTTTATTTTCGTTTTTCTTCTTTGTTATATTAGTTTCTTTTGTCCTCTCTCATTTATTCCATCTGACTCTGTAAATACTCTTCCATGTAAACTTTTTACCTTTCTATTCTTTATTTATTCATAAATATGTAAATAATTAAATATATTACAGTTTTTCCTTCTTGTACAATAAAATGGCATGACTATTGAAATGCAGTTTTGAAATTCAGTATTTTAATTTTGATATTAACGTTAATTATCAATCTTGTATACAAAGGTAATGATAACATGATAATAAGATTGAAAGATATTTGAAAACAAAAAATAAAATTATGTAAATATAATAGAAGATTTCCTTCACTTATGTTTTTATGAAATTTTAAAATGATGAATTAAAATTTAAAATTTTAACTATTTTAAATGACCATTATTTTTATTTACTTAAGTTTCTAAAAACCACCAATATGTACATTTCTTAAATAATTTGTATACAAATTAATTAAATCTTTTGTTAAGTTTAGTAAATTCAAACTTTGATAACTTTCGTCCTTACCTTATTATATTACTGGTAGATTTACTTTAATATCCTCAAAGATTACATTATATTTCTATTGGATTTGACATAATTTTATAACATTACTGTCGTTGCTTTATTTTTAATTTTCGTAATGCCATGTTATGATTTGCACTAACAATATTTGACATTAAACCTGATGCGTTAGTACTATCAAATTAAAGTTTACATTGTACAGCAAACAAAAGTATAAATTCAATTAAACTTGGTAGCGAATCTCCATTGTTGTTAATTTATTACACACACGAATAAATTTATAATATTTTAGTCGCAGACGCTTTAATATACACTTAATATACACTTTTTTTCTTTCGCACTATATTTTTGTTAATGCGGTGATAATTTTTCATTCCTTTCAATTAATACGATAATTACAGAATAAAAATTCTGAAATATTATTTAAAAATATAATATTTAAAACCATTGTATCAATATAAAGTAAGACAAACATTATTGACCAATTAAAAACAGTACCAATGTAAAGACTACATTAATTAATAGTTAATTATTTTTTGTAAAATTTTGTGAATGTACGAATAAAAGACTTGTTATTATTCAATAAATATCTAATAAGAAATATACAAACGATAAAATATTAAAAATTTCATTTTCAAAATAACAATCATCCTATACCGTATTATTGATATTTTAATTTTATACTTTAAATATGTGTGTTGCTCGATAAAAATTAGATATTTTATGCATGTTATTTTTAACAAAAAGTTATATTTAACTAGAAGTTAAAAATGCCGACATTCAAGTTTAATACCTCGTTATTTAAATGTTAACGATGATATAATGGAAAAAAATTGTTTTCTTCCCCAAGCATGACACGAATTAAAAATATTCAAGAATTTATATTGTAAGATACTTGATAATATCTTTTACAGCATCTGCTTTCTCAACATTAACATAAAAGCCTGCTCATTTTTAAGATAATAATTTTGTCCCTCTTATACACTTCTCCTTCATTTTCAATTGTGCTATGGAGGTTTAAAAGATGTCTGAAATACTCTAAAATGCCCACGTTACTTAAACTATATGAGTGTGTATGGTGATATTTACTGAAAGCATAAACTCACCGATGTCGCGGGCAACGAATCTGCCGCTTTCGAGAGAAGTAGCGAGCTTTACCACTCCCTGAAGTTTCTTGCTGCAAATCGGACTCCATATACCTAATGTTGTGGCCTTGTAAGAAAGGTCGGGACTGATTTCGCGAACCTCCAGGGGCTACAACATGGAAAAGCATTAGAATGGAGTTAATTTAAAACAGGGACAAATACATCCGAATTAAACTTGGGTGTCTGGTGGTTTTCGCTTGTTTAAACTTTTATTGCTTTTTATTGAAGTTAAGTTGGGAAGACAAATGAGAAATTCAATAGTTTGGTATTTTAAAATATTCTCTACTTTCTCATCGATTTAAATATATAAATTCAAAGAATAAATGAGATAATTTATATTGTATCTATTGTTATTGCACAATTGTTAAACATTAAAATATTTTCGTTTTTAAAATGTAGCTTTAATAGAGATGGAAAAACATAAATATAGCTATGTAGATAGCTCACAATAAAATGATTTGAGATACGTATTAATTTAATTTCTTATATAGCATGGAAAGATAAATGAATATATATATATATATATTATGTTTGCGAACGAGAAAGTAATAAAATGAATATGTAATACTAAAATTTACTGAAATAAATGTACATTTTACAATATTTTATTTTTGGTACTTAGCAAGGTAAAAACTGATCACATTCACGAACGCATCTGCCCCAATATATAATATATACATATACAATAGCCATTTTTTATGGTATTTTATTTAAAAAAAAAAAAAAAAAAAAAAAAAAAAAATATATATATATATATATATATATATATATATATACGCATATATATAAATTGTTCTATAATGATAATGTATGTTTGAAGACAATTTTTACTAAAATATTCTTGAAGCACTAAAAAAAAAAATTTTAACATTAAAATTAATAAACAAATTTATAATTACATTATAAAAAAATGCAAAATTTCATTCGCTTTATTATTCTAAAATTTTAATAATATACGCTATACGTGCAATATTTAATAGCTTTACTTTTATATTCCCATTTACATATAATTAATATTCTAATGATGTAACATTCTGAAAAAATATCAATTCCATTAAATCTTTACGCATAAATAGATAAAAATGAAATTAGAAATTTAAAATTAAATTTTATTAACATATTTCATGAAGCCAGTCTTAGTCTTACATTATCAAGGGCTCGTAAAAGCTATAAATATAAGAAACAGATTTTACATAATAATAAAGGCTAAGCTAGCAATTATACTTTCTGATGACAAGTTGCAAAATTCATTCGATTAGTGAGGAAAGATAGCGATTCAATCGAGCCAATAATTTAACAGCAAATATTTAATTTGTGCTTCATTTGCCGCTTAATAAGCGGCTTTAAGTGCTGTAAGGAAGGAATCGCATTCTATAGATGTTTTTGAAATAGTAGAAAATGGAAGTGCACGTAATCATCGCGGAGGATAACATCCGTTCTTTATTCCGTTTCCAATACTCCTTTAGCAGCCGATAATCGTCCTACCGTTCCGAATCGTCTGAATTTCGATGGTCTCCGTTTTCCGTTCTGTTCCTGAACTCCGATAGAGGACGGACAATAATTGTTACGTCGTTCCGAACCATCTAGATTTCGACGGTATCCGTTTTCCGCTTCGTTGACGAACTCGGATAGTACCTGATAACCATCGCGTAGTTCCCAACCATCTAAGGTTTCGATTTCTTTTCTTTTGCAAACCATTAAACTTATGATAAATCGCAAGAAAATTCTTATATCAATGGCATTCTATCGAATCATATACGCATCTAATAAACGCTAATAGTCAAAGTCATATTTATATTATTTTATTGTAATTTTTTGTAACGATTTAAGTTATTTGTTTATTTTATTGAATAATATTATACTTCGAAAGAATCGTGATACGATCTACAGTTATCTAGGTCAAAAGGTTGGGAAACTACGCATAAGATCGAAAGTGTAAAAGGCAATTTCGTTACACAGTCGCTCAAGTTATTTAAGGTTTTTTTTTTTTTTTATTTCATGCTATTTTATTTATTGTTGTAGTTTTATGAAACTGAAAAGAAATTGTATCAATTTCTTCGTGAGTGCGGTATCAAAAATTATTTAAAATTTTGCATTTCATTACTTTTAATATAATCTTATGAAAATATATCATTTCTACACGGTATCGGGTCTGGTGATCGCAACAATAACTTGATTGCTACTCAACGGAAAATTAAACAATATTGTATTCATAGTAGCCTGTTTTTTTTTTTATTTTTTAATTTTATGGCACTTAATATGGAAGAAGTTCAAACTGAAAAAAGTTCATATGGCCTTTTTAGTTACGGGCAAAAGTGTAGATATGCATAAGTAAGTTGGTAAAAAGTATCTACGGTATTAATTAGAAATGTTTTATGATGAACAATATATTATGCAGGATCTTAAGATACAAATAAATCTATTACGAATGCAAAATAAAGCTTCTAAAACTGAATTTCAAACAAATTCAAGAAACAATTGGAAATGCAATTGAAACCTTGAATAAGTTCAATAAATTATGTTTAAGCTTATAGTTAAATTTTTCTGTAAGTTGGTATCATCTTAATACATATATTTAACGTTCATCGTATTTCAATGGTTTTTACCGACAAGTAGCCCTTAAGTATCTTTATTTTATCTTTTAGATATTACAAGAAAAAGTGAAATTTTGAAGACTTGGTGTGTGCTTCAATTCTTAAATTGATGTGAATATTACTTATATTTTCAAAGCTTTTTTGACTCGAAAATATAAAATGAGAACAGTACATCACTCGTAATAGAAAATAAGTAAATAAGAGAGAAAATATAATACAATAATCATATAATTCACCAATAATCATAAAATTATATAATTCAAAGCTTATTTAAGTCAAAAATATAAAATGAGAACAGTATATTATACGTAATACAAAATAAATAAATAATAGAGAAAATTTAATACAAAAATCATGTAATCATAGAATTTCACTCAAAAATAGAAAATGCGGATTAGTTTATTATTCTCATAAAACAACAAAAAATAGTTTTCATATTATATTTTATATAAGCAAATATAAAGTATACGTAAATATTAAAAATCATTAATCTAGTAAGATTGATCTAATATTTGGGAATGAAAATATTTCTAAGATTCCTGTTTAAAAACCAAATAAAGACAATTTGTGGAATAGTATTATTTAAAAAATATATTTGCATAAAACGTAAAACCTGATTTATGCTATCAATAGTATAATATTTTTATAGTTTTTTGTATATAAATTTCAATATATAATTAAAAGATATTACTATGCATATTTTTTTGCATGTTAAAATATATTTTTTTATTTAATTACCTTCTAATAAGAATAAAGATATTATATACAAATATGTTTTTATAATAAAATCAATTATAGATAAATAATACTATACAAAACTCATAATTCTAACTAAATTATTATTTCGTACATTATTTGGAATTAGGTAAAATAAAAGAAAATATAACGAATTCGTTCGAATTAGGAAATTATTCTCTAGCTATCTGTAAATATTAAATGAATTCAATTTAGAAATTAAATTTAGAATTCACATAATTAATACCCTATTTACACATGCACGCATGCATTCGTATATGCAATCGAAAGACTATAAGTACAAGAGCATATTTTTAAACTAATGATGTTTAAAAATTTTCAAGTTGAAAAGTGTACTTTAATTTTATCTGTACACAATTTTATCTCGAACATTTAGTTATAAGATATAGTAGCAACAATTAAACGTGTTTTTTTCCTGATTACTCATAATAATGATTAACATTAGAATGTTTAAATTGACATCTCATAATCATTGTAATTTAATCAACAGGCAAATATCTTAATAAAGATTATTAATAATTCCATTTTAAAAGGTATACTATATTATATTCATACCATTTTTTTATAATTACAATTATTTCACTAATTTTTTCATTTATTCTAAATTATTTAATAGTAATTTAAATATAAAAAACATTTAATAAATGCAGTAGCATCAATGCTTACATTTTAGAAATTAACAAACTAATCACATACATTGTAATTCAGTTTTAATAAAATATTTAAAGATGTTCTTAATTAAAAATAAGCAATCAACAAAATCTTATGTTTTTCTAACTTTTTTTGTAATTACAATAAGCAAAAAAACACAACTAGACGCTCTATTATATTTTATTATACTTAATGTCTTAATTTTCAAGTTATATAAATATTATTATATTTATTAATTTATTAATAACTATATTTTTAGTAATAAAATATTGCATTTGAATTTTTGTTATATATTTACTTATTTATTTAGTGTAGATTAATAAATAAAAATTTAGCATGCATTAATAACTTTGAAAAATGACGATTTTAATAAATATTTATTTCACCTTAATATAGAATTTTTATTTGTAATACATTTTTTATGTTTAATTTTCACTGTGTATATTATCTTGGTAAATTTTAATTGCTCAATATTGGCCAGTTTATAAAGTCAATCAATAAGAAATTCCAATCGATAATAAATTTAAACATAAAAATTAGACTATGAATTTACAAAAAAAAAAAAAAAAAATTAACAATGAAACTTCAAATTTAATTAATAAGTGATATCTTATTTAATAATTATTTTTAACAAAACAATGTATTTATATGAATTATTTAAACTGAAAATTTATCACTGTTTACTGAATTAACATTTATCGACATATTATTTTAAAGCAACATTATTATTATATATGTTAACATTATAATTATGTTGTATCGTTATTAAATAAAGTAAAACTATCATTTTATTTTAATGCATTAATAATATTTAAGCAAACAATGACTAATAAGTATAATTATTGTCAGTAATTTCATATCATTTGTTGAATAATTATGGCAAAAATTAAAAAAATTTTCTTCTATTGATTAAAATTTGTGAAGTATAAGTATAAGTATGTAACTTTCTCATCTTCTTAAAAAATTAATATTATCATACCACATATGCATGTAGTATTTTAATCTAAACATTTTACACAATAAAGAATTTGAAATGTTAGTTAATACTATTTCTTTATGATAGGCAAGTATTGCCTAACAAGTGCGGATGTATGAATAAAATAATAAATAAACTAAAAATAACATATTTATATATTTTTATAAAAATGAATAAAGATTACTAGATAGATAAATATATAATTATAAAAACATATTAAAAATGATATGAAAACATAAATTTATTCCTAATTTTTTTAAATGTTTTTTTTTAACAAATTGATAGTATATCTTTTAAAAAGTAAAACACATTTTTATTGAAATTATAAAAATTATTAAAAAAAAAAAAAAAAAAAAAAAAAAAAAAAAAACAGGAAAATGTGGAACAATAAGATAATCTTACTATTATTTATTTTTCATAACTTAATAAATTTGCAACTGTTTCCATATATATATAATAAATATTCAAATTACATAATTCAATATATCCAATATAATATAGTTATATGCTTTATATAAAATAAGCAAATAGTTTGTCAAACATTCATAAATAATAGATTTATTTTTTCGCGAATACATTTCTCAATTCAAGCAGATACAGCATATTGAGATGCCGAAATAGTTTTATAGATAGATGTCTTTTAATAAATAATATATTATTTTCTTGCACTCGTAAAATCTTTTATATTTGATGATTATTCTAAGAAGTTATATTTCTCCAATGAGAAAGAAACTTTTTAATATTAATTTATAAAATTACATTATTAATATTATAATATTGTCGTTAGGAAATTTAATAAAAATAATTGGCATTTTAATATATTATTTATAAATTTTATAATCTTTTTTAACTTGGAAAGTTCTTGAAAAATAAAAATTGTTAAATAATATTGCTTTTATAATTATCTATACAATGGTATTTAATAAAAATGAAATACTAGCAGTGTTTGCACATTGCTGATTAATTCTGTCTCTAATAGTAAACTTAAAATTTATATGACTTATATTTGATCTGTTAAATATTAAATGCGTAGTGAGCTGTATTTCAGGAAAAAGAAAAAAGAAAAAAGCTGTATTTTGTAAAAAGTTTTATCCTTAAACATTAAAAATTACCCTTTTAACATTATAATATTAAAATAAGATAAAATTATTTTACATCGTTAAATAAAGTATCCGAATTTGCTTAATTTTTTATTCTTAGAATGAGAAAATGATTTATTTTAATCTTTGGCAAAGTTTAAAAGTACGACACTATGTTGAAGCTGTCGAAATTTATTATGAAGTTCAAAATTCGATAATATTCATGTTGGTACAGCCTTTGCTTCAATATCCACATACAATAAGAAGCCTAAGAACATTGGAGAACGCGAGTTGGTTCAGATATTCCAAAGACGTTTGGTATTTGGAAGGGTTAATGCAACTTGTTCCACCACTGTTCGTAAAAAACAAACCATGAATATTTCGAGTCTCAGGTATTTTGTTAATTAGGTCAGTCAGACTCTCCTAGAATTTGCAAGAACGCATGGTATGTCCCTTCGATAGTATATTGTACTACACTATCGGCCCAATCCCTATATTAGTATATCTACACGCATGTTAACAGCATATTAGTTGCTTAAGAGCCATGATAGCGACCACATCATTGTTAAGTTCTTGTGAACGTACTGACATTTTAGTTAACGTTACAAAACTGGAGCAAACATATGCTGTGTAAGCGCCGTACAAACAAAGCACAAATTCTTACCTTCAACTTGTAAGGTTAAGTTGCGATACTGTTAAGCTTATGAAATATTATGCATATAAAAGATAAAAATATTTCACTAACAATTACAAAATTAACTAATTAAAATAAGGCTTCGGATGATGACAATAATTTAGCTAATGAAACATTTGTAGAATAAAAAGGAACCGTCCAAAGGGTCCAAACCAAAAATTGATTTGGAGAATCGATGAAATCATTATTATTGTCATTATTTTACTTCAACTTACTTATAAAAAATCACAAATATATTAACATAATTTCAAAATCTAATTAATAGTACTCAGTAGTTTAACACAGAAACGAATTTATTGTTTAATTAACCTAAGACTGCAAATAATAAATATTTTTATTTAAAAACTATCGGTAAATAGATTTTATTAACTAATTTTTAATGTATATGTAAAGGACAACTTTAAAGAAATTTTATTTTTATGACTTAAATAAAGAATTAACAATGATATTATTTATAGAAAATTGTTGAATTTTACGCAAAACTATTTTGTATATACAAAAAAATTTTCATACATAATTTAAAACGCAACAGAATAGTATTAGATTGTTGTTATAAATTTTTGTAAAAATAATTTTCTTAATTGCAAAGTGTAAAAGTTATGCTTTTAACTTTATTTTAATTATTTTTTCATGCTGTATTCCATATTGTTATATGATAATAGGAAAGAAATGTGATATATTAACGCCACTTAATTGAAAATCACCTTTAAAAGCAATTAATACATTCTTATTAAACATAAACTTTTCTTAATAGTTTTTAAATAGTTTTTATTAAATGTACTAAACAATTTTTATATAAAATTAAAAAATATTAATATTTTTTTGTTTTATAATATTACAATATCGTAATAATTAATTATGAAATAAAAATTTGGCATTTTTTTCTGAAATTTGTTTCTTCCCAACAAAATTAAGTATTATTTGTATTATTTTATTATAAATAATTTAAATTTTAAGCACATAATTTGAATTAATCGTGTTAAATTCAAGTACAATAGACTCAAATAGTTATGCCATGATTCATTATTATGAAAAACTTTAGCATAAAATACTTACTATTACTTTTCAATACGTGCTAAGATAATTAAAAATGCAGAAATACATAATATATTTGTTTCAACTAATATTAAAATAAAAAATTAGAGACCTTTTTGTTAAAGTTTTAAATCGTTCTGCTTCATTAATTATGATTCACAATCTAATCAGTTAGTTAAAAAATTAGGAATGAGTAAATTAAATCATAAAAGAAACAGAATTATAAAAGTCTGCTTTTTTAATCAATATACTTAATTATTCAGTATTAATTTTCGTATGGATATATAATTAATATAAAATAATGATTTGATATGTTATCAAATATGTTAATTATAAATTGTACAGTCAAAATTCATTAAATTTAAATTCAGGTCAATATTCTATAATTTATATTTATAAATGTACTTTGAAATATAATATCAATGTTATATTTATTGGTTAAGGTAAACTAATATTAAAGGAGATGCATAATTAGACAAATGTTAAAGAACTAAGAAAGACAAGAAAATGTAGAAGAATAAGAATAAATTTTGAATTAGATTTTAAAACCTTAGATACACATGCAAAATTCCTTCTTATAGTGCATGTTATTATAATTGTTTGTTTATATACAATAAGTAGTAGTATCTATAAATTTTTAATTAAATTATATGGTATTATTACTGAATGTTTTTGTAACCAGCAGAACAAAAAAATATTTTTATTCACAAAATAATTATTTTCTTTTATAGATTTCAATCACTATCTTCTAATGCAGTATATCTTCTAAGATAAACAATCGGCTTACCATCAGTCTTATAGAAAAAGAATTAATATATTACAAGCTTTTTACAATTTTTATTTCAATGTTAATGTAAATGTCGATAGTATTTATTTAAGCAGGTGGTTCCTAAGAATCAGTCTAGTTTGATGGTTAATTGAAAATTGCCATTGAAATTGCAATAAGGTTTTGCAAAGGGATTTTACTCACCACATAGAGAGCTTCAAGAGCTCCCAGCAACGTGACCAATTCCACATTTTCAAAGCGATCATCTGGTAATAGAACTAACAAAGGACGGCGAACGCCAGCTTCTAAGGCCCTGTGAACAAGCGATTGTATTCTTTCATTTCGTACATTACATCTGACACGAATTACAAAAATAATGTTAAAGTCTAATGAGCCACGTTGTCAATTTGCAAAAATGATAAATGATAAAATATTAAAAATTTGGATATGCAACATATCGCTTCGGTTAACAATTATTGTTCATACGTGTCTATTATGAATCCCTATTACCGATATTCCACTACAAAATTCATTATAATAATTGTAAAATTTCACAGCGATGTGCATTAAAAGTGAACGAACCAATGGTGTACATTATGATTTAAAAATATTTTGTATTTGACAAGATTTTGTTATATTAGTACATTCCATGCTATTAATTTTATTTATTGTATGAAATATTAGAGGGATGAATAACGTATTATTTAAACTATGTATTATAAATGAATGAATTGAATGTATTTCAATGCTTGTGTATTGTGCTTTTAAATGCATCATTATAATAAGCAGAGTCGACTTGAACGATTATTTTAAAATTTTGAAACTAAAATTTTATAATAAATAAATATATAATTATTATAAATATGATAAAATTATTTATTAAAGTATAATATTACAATTTTAAAACAAATAATAATGAGGTGTTAATCAGTACAAAATTATTATTCTCTGTGTTGAAATAAAATCATTCATAATAAAATAAATCTTTAGAAAATGTTTTCAATCGTCAAAAATAACATCACAAAGGATACACCAATGCCAATCGAAATTTGTATTAGAACATCATCTGACACTATATATGGAAGTAAATTCATTTAAGCTTTTGAAAATACTATAATATTATTTAATTTGTATTGATTTATTCGTAATTGACTTAATTCAAAAGTATTGGAAATCCAATGGGATTTAATTAGCTTAAATATAAAATTAAATATTATATTTCTCTTCTTTTAATGCATTAATTTTATACCATTGAAAAGTTATATTTATTTCAATTGAGAGTTATATTATAATTAACTTAAAAACTTTAGCATAGAGTTATTATATAACTAATTACATCTCTAAAAAGTGTTAGATAGAGATTATGCAACGAAGATTACCGTTTAATTCCCCTGACTGCTGCAAGGTTGAAGACCCTAACATCGTCGTAGTCGCAGTCAATAGGACCCGTTGGACTGTAGATCAGCCGTTTTGCCGGTAAATTTATTGGCAACACGGTTGTGTGCTCGAATAAAGCACAGTCGAGTTGACTGCTACTGAAGAGGAGGGATTTAAAGGGCTCTGGCTCTTGAGTTCCTGGCGGTGTACCTGAGATGAGGATGACCCCATCGTAATTTGGGCTACAAATATTAGGTTCGATTTGCAATCGACTTGGTATGTATCTGCAATCAAAGATTTATCGGTTCATTTTTTTTTCTCCCTATATTTAAATCACATTTTTTTATGTGTCCCTAAAGTATTTCCTGCATTATATAATTCACCATTACTTAGTTATGTTTCTCATAATCCTAGATATTTTCCTATGGAAAGTTATAAATTAGTGATTCGAGCAAAAGTCGAAAGTAAGATATTTGCAAATTCAAGAAACTGTAGGAGAAAAATGAAGTATCAAACACAAGAGTATATACACAAGAAAATTTTAATCATTACAGTATACTTGCAACAATACTGTGTTATTTTTTATTTTATTTGAATATCGTAATAAATAAAACGTGAATGAATAAAGTAAATATCAAAGTACAAAGTTTTATATGCCATCGTATGTCAAAATGATGTTATGCAAAAATTTAAATAAAATGTCTTTTAACAGTCGAAAATTCAAGGAGCATAAAAGTTAAAATCAAACAGTTATAGTTTTGTTACAGCTTTTATTATGATCTGTTTTCATAATTTTCGAAGGCCAATTAGAAATACTTAGGAAATTTTTCTTTTATTTAAAGGTAAACAAACCATTATTTGAGGAACACAAAGATTTAGAATTTCAAATTTTTAGCTTCGAAAAAGTGTACTCATTCATATTTCTCTAACATATTCATTAGCATATTCCATCATCTTACATTATAAAAATATTTATTTTATTATAACTAATTGGTAATAATTTATCACCTTTCAATAAAAAATATTATATTCCATAAACTCATTAAAGTGGAAAATCTTGATTTGAATAATTACTAAAATTATTATTAATTGGAGTAATATTTATTAGAACAAAATATTTTATTTTTTTTTTTTTTTTTAATTTATTCCTTATTAAATTTAATTTATCATTGTTCTATATCCAACTCTTAATTTTAAATGTTAGACGATATAATATATTTTAATTTCCTTTGGAATACTAAGGAAGATATTTTACAATAATTTTTGGTATTAATTAATAACATATTTCTCTCTTTTGGATTACTTAAAATTAATGAGTAAAAAAAAAAAAAATTAACCAAAATGTTCAAATTAACGTTTCTAATAATCATTGACTGATTTTGTAAAGAAAAACTTCTCTCTTACAATTGCAACGTGAAGATTATTAAACTTTGGCTGGATAATCTTCAAATTAGAGAAAATTATCTGTTCGTTTCATAAAAACTAAAATATATAGTAAATATCAATTAATGACTATTTGATATATTTAAAAACTATATATTATATTAAATTAGTTACGATATATTTATATTTTACATCTATTAGGTAGAGATAATTAATTGAATTTCATATAGAGTTCTGATGATTTTAATTTAATTTTTGAGAAAATAAATAATACGTATTAAAAAAAAATATTTAACTTATTTTAAAACGTATTACTAAAATTGGTTTTTTTTTTTTAAAATATTTTTAAACATTTCATACAATTAAAACCTTTAGATTTTAAAATGAAATCTTAAAAAACAATAGAGATAAATATGCAAAGGATTAAAGAAGATGGTAATGTTTTATTTTTAAAATCATTTCATTATACTAAAATATATATTTTTTTAAATCCATATTTTCCAATAAGTGGAATGTATTTAACTTAAAAATGTTTTTTTTTTTAAATCATTTAAAAATTATTTAGATTTAAATTATCAACTCTATTATTTCCGATAAATTTTTAATTTGTTATACTTATTTACTTACAATTATTTATAAAAATTATTAATTTTATAATTTTAAGATATCTGAGAAATTATAAGATATCTTTAAGACTTTTATATTAGCATAATAACAAAAACCATTGAATAGAATAATGAACTAAAGATGATAAAGTATTTTATATATTAATTTATTTAAATTTCTCTAATTTTTATTCACAGTTCTTTAAACTCATCACTTCGTGTGCATACTTTACTTGCACGTGTAGGTATGTAAAGTTATCCAAGTATATAAGAACCAGGACGTATACACATGTATTTGCCTACTTTATGCATACGAAAGGATCAATACTGCACACAATGTACACCATTGCACGAGTTCTATTTTACTGCTGCTGTTTTCATCATACACTCGTATTACAACGAATTCGCATAACATGAAACTAATGTATCTGCATTTACAGTCTTTTAAATGAGCGATGGTGTAATATAGCTACCGTTTCCGTTTACGCCTTTACATTTAAACTATATATGCACACACACACACACACACACACACACACACAAAAATTAAAATATAAAACAAACGTAACAATAAAAAATATTATTTTAAGGGAGCGTAATATTGTTAATATTTGGGTATTTAAAATTGAGGTTGGAGACATATTTATATAGTAATTAATTAAAGATTATTAAAATTAATCAAAAAGAATAAAAGCATACAATTACAATTAAGATTAGCGTATACATATGCAAATATAATATCAACATTAAATTATATCTTTTTATAAAGTGAAGTACTTGCATACATATTAATTCAGTTGAATATAAATATGCAGTGAAAAGTATAATAATTCGATTTAAATAATGGTAAATGTTTCTATATATATCGTATAATTACTCAAAAAAAACGTTTTAATACTTTTGAATTTTAAGCGAAAAATATACTGGATTTATATTCTGTCAAAAATGAATTAATACATAAATTGATACTAACAATTCACGTAATTACATAGTACACATTAATAAACTTAAATCTCCTTTAGCATTAATATTAGGTAAATGTGACAACGTAAATTATAATTCATTTAAAACAATTCATTTTTAATTGTTATACAGAAATAACTATTGTATTATATTTATAACAATTATAAATTACCATATGCATATTATACTGTAACATGTATGTGTAATTCTAATAAAATAAATACTGTTTTTATTTATAATGAAGTATTTGTCATATCTACAAGAAAACTTCTTTAATATTATCTATTTAAATAATAACAAAAACTAATATGTTCTTGTAAAGTTATTTATCGCTTACATAAACTGATTAATCGCCATAGAATAAATTTTTTTTTTATGTTGCAAATAATATAAATATGAAACTTGATATCACACTAAAATATGTAAATGAGATGTTACTGTATTTTTAAAATGCAAATAGAGTAGTTTATATAATTTTTTAATTCATATTAGTATTCATTAATAAATTTTTTATTAATGGTTCCTTTAAAATATTAATAGATTGATCAATATCTTATTATTTCAAATTAAAATGAATATTAACTAAAAATTGAAATATTTATTTGAAGTAAGTATTAGAGGGAAAAGTATTTATTATTTTAATTTTATAGTGCATAATATAAAATTGAAAATCATTGTAAAGAATGATATTTGTTATAGTAATATAAAAAATATTGTCAATAATGAGAGCTATTACAAATATATTTAACTAATTAACTTTTTAATATATAACTATATTTTTAACTTATGCAATCAATATATATATATATATATATATATATATATATATAATCAAGTATTTTTACATTTTCAAGAATTTTAATACAATTTAAAAGATGCAATTATATTTGCAAATCTTTTAAATAATAACATGCACATGGCACTTGAAATATCCATTTTTCTTTCTTCATTTTTCTATTATCCATTTACTGATAAGCTTATAACAAATAAAATGTTCTGGATCCTTTTTATCCATGGTTTTACTATATTGTATTTAACCAAGTATTTTTTAATTTTAAAATCCATAATTTTCCGTTACAGAAAATCAATGTTTGATGAATAAGTGAAAAAACCATCAATTCTGCAAAGTTTTGATATTCATAATTCTAATCAAATACAAAAGTCCAAACTTAAATAAGTATAATAAAAATAATTCTTAGATGCTTCAAAATGAAGTATGGATAATGTATATAATATTATATTAATTAAAAGTTTTATAAATTTAATTTTCATTCGTTGTATCGCAACGTATTCAAGTCAAGAAAATTGTATTACGATTTCCTACATTCAAATTCAGTTCTTCTGCACGAATGTGCTATTATTTTGGACTAAATTGCTAAATATTAGTATTGTGCGATCAACTGATGAAGGATCTAGTTTTAAATCATTCGCATGAATACAGTGGACTCTGACTTTCACAGTAGTCTACTATACTATCGAAATAACGTATAACCTGACTCTCGAGCGTCCATCTGATCCTCGATAAGCAACAATTGAAATTTATGAAGTACGTGTATGCTTGTATGAATACTTGAACACAACTTGGTTTGAATGGCTATTTTATACACGAAAGTACTAGAATGCATTGCAGTTTGTTTAAATCGCGTTACGATCTGCGTATACACGGAATTTGTATGCAATATAAATCATGGGCTATTATTTATCCAAAATATAAGTTTGCTAATAAATATAGAAACTAGTGTATTCTTAAGAATCCTCTCCTCGGCAAAGATTTATGATTAATAAATATACTTATTTAAAGCATTTAATAATAGTTTATAAATATATTATAAGGATTATGTCCATATATTTTGTGTAATTTCTTCAAAGATAAATACGAATATTAATATTACATATTGTTAGATTGCATTTGAAGCATTTTCTATTTATGATTTCTTATTCTATTTAAAAGTATTACTAAATTAATGGCTAGAATTATTCATTTCTATTATACTAATTATGAAATGAATTTATATTTGGCTTTGGATTATCGTTGTAGCCATAATCTTATATAATTTTATAATTTTATTTTGTCAACAATGATTAGCTGAGCAACCACTTATAATTCATCGGACTTTCGGTCCTACTAAATTCTGCGGCTTATTAAATCATACCTACAATTATAACTCTTTAATTACATAAGTTTATTTCTAAAATTTTTGCTTTTTATACAGGATTAGATCTAAACTAAACATATTTCATGGTAACAAAAACGGATTCAAGAATTAATTTTTTTTTTCATGGAAAAGAGTAAACAACGACTTAGCTTCGATAAATATCTGAAGTCAATTGCA